GTTATATTATAGTTTCATTAGAGCTTAATTTTATTGTTAACAAGATTTTATATGTAGATTGGAGAGTTTTCAGCATATGAAAGCATAATTAAACTTATGATTAGGCTCAAATTTTATTTCTTTCAAGAAAAATAATTAATAATTACCATATATACATTAATAAAAATTTTATTTTTTTAATAGAAATTTAAATTTATATATACTTATGTTTAATATCATTAAAAAGCATATGTGAAGAGACAATTTAAGGTTCGTTTGGGACGACTTTTTTATTGATTCTTAAAGCAACTTTTTGATATAGATTTTTTTTTTAATTTCTTACAAGAAAATTGTTTTAAGAAGCAATAAGAAAGCCGTCCCAAATAAAATCTTAGTTATATGGAGTTGTTTGCTCTTGAAATTGCTTGATCATATTAGAAGCCATCAAAATTTATTGTAGTCACTAATTAAATTATTTTAACTAATTAAATTATTGCAGGAAAAGAGAAAGGAATCGCCGGCGGGAATATTGCCATGGGCCCACACGAGGGACCCACTCCGGCCTCATTGTGGTGCAACGGCACCCCCGAAGATTTTTCATATGGCCGTACAGATTCTTGTGATTGCAGCAATATCCACGCTTCATTGCCTTTGGCTATGGAGAATATATTATAAATTAAATATACCGTTAGCATTTAGCAGTTTCTTTCCTCTTTACAAAATTTATATAAGAATTTACTGCTGAAAATAAATTAAAGAAATTACAAAAAAAAATTAAATTTATTGTAAATGTTAATATCACATATGATATATTAAATTATTTTAATTTTAAATGTCAATTCAAAATTATTAAAATAAAATTTATTATATTTTATGTCAAAATATCTTAATATAAAAATTTCAACTAATTTTTGCTATTTTTATTACACTGCTATATTCATTGTTAGTTTTCTTTTTAATGAGGAGCAATATATCTTAAATTATGTTATTTAAAGTTGTCATTTTATAATTTTTTTTAAATAATTGTGCCATAATTTTTTGTTTAATAAGAGAAAATTATTTCGTTCGAATTAAGTCTTCGTTGGGGACAGCTATTTTATTGCTTTTAATATAAAAAATTTTAATTAAAAAAATTATATTAAAAAGTTGCTTTAAATGTAGTAAGAAAATTGTCTTCATTTGGACAACTTTCTTAAATCTTTTAAATAAAATTTTAATACAACAAATTTTTTGAAGGAGAAATTTTTTTGAAAGAGTTTAGATAAATGAAAAAATATATTAATCAATAACAAAATAATGATGGTTGACAATAACTTTAATGGTTTGAAAATTCCTTCTTTTTGAAAGAATAAAGATTTAAAACGAGTCATAGTGAATTTTTTTGCTCAATATTTTTAATAAAAAAGAAAAATAAATAAATTTATCTTATTTATTTTAAATATATTATTTTTCACTATTTTTATGTTTAAATTAATACTTCTCTAGAATCAACGAGCCTTTTTTTTTAATGAACATCTTTCAGGTCACCAGCTCTCTTCTTAAAATTTTTATATAAAATATTATCATTTTATATACTAATTTTTTTTAAAAGAAATGGCATTATTGAATATGCGCCTTAGCTTATCATATATTTTTTAAAATTTTTTATTAAGTGTATATCCTTAAAATTCACCGAAATTTCTCATAAATACTCTCCTCAATGAGTATATATATTCCACTTGTTGCATGTTGGAACATTCATGACGATACAGAGATAAAAAAGCTTAACATCTTAGCTTTTAATAAATATCCAACATAAAGACTGATAAGAGAGATGGTGCATCAATCAGAAAAGACACCAGATGTTTTTACATAGAAAACCCATGAAAAAGAAAAAACGGGGGGCCTTGCCTAGTTAACATTAGTCCACAATTTTTTTTCATTGATTACAAATGATTCCCTTCCTCGGGGGAAGGCATTGACTCAATGAAGCAGATAGTTATCATATAAGGTGAATTACATGATTGAGATTGGAAGAATCCAATGACATAAGAGATATTATCAAGAGAGCGTTGGTTAGTTTGTTTGGTTAGGAAGACTAAAGTGAGGCAATTGAGGTTGTAGGTACAATAGTCGGGTGACTAAAGTCAATAGATTGTTGTCTGGTGATGGAGGTCAGGGGGATTATATTCAGCTGATGGTAGTCAGAGGGAACGTAATTGGCGGGCAACTGTAATTGGAGGGATCATAATCAGGTGATGGAGGTCAAAGAGACTATAATCAAGCAATTAAGGTCGAAGGGATTGTTGTCGTGCAATAGAGGTTGTATGCACAGTAGCTAGAAGGCAACAAAGGTAAAAAAGATTGTAGTCGGTGTGCAACAGAGGTTGAAAGGACCATAATCGAACGACTGAGGTTAAAAGGACCATTGTTGAGCAACGAAGGTCAGAGGGACTGAAATTGGCAGGTGATGTAGGTTACAAAGATCTTAGTCAGCGAGTGATAGAGGTCAAAATGATCGTAGTCGAACGACAGAGGTAGGGGTGACTGTCAGTCGATGGTGGTCAGAGGTACCATAGTTGACAAGCGACTATGGTTAGAGGGACCATTGTGTAACGTTGGACAGCGGGATCGTAGTCGGCGGGAGACTATGATTGGAGGGATCATAATTATACGCAGGAGACTGATGTTGAATGACCATAGTAATAAGGATACAGTGGTTAGAGGATCGTTAGTGGGCGACGAAGGTCTGAAAGAGTTTAGTTGGTGGCAAAATTGTGGTCAAAAGAATCGTTGTGTGGTTGTGGTTTCACAACGATGGTTGGAGGGATATAGTAGGCAGGCGACGGGGGCCAAAAAAATCATAGTTGGGCAATTGAGGCTGAAGGACCGTAATCGAGTGACAATGGTCGTAAGAACCATAGATGATGGACGATGAAGGTTGGATGGATTGTAATTGGTGGCCGACGAAGGTCGGAAGGATCATAATAGGACGATAGAGGTCGAAAGATCATAGTCGGTGGGCGACGAAGGTTAGAAGAATTGTATCTGGGTGACTGAGGTTGAAGGATTGTACGGGAGACAATGGTAGGAAAGACAGTAGGCGGCGATGGTAGGAAAGAACGTAGTCGGCGGGCAATGAAGGTCGGGTAGAGACCAGTAGTTGGAGGCCAGACATAGGTCCGACAACGATGGTCGAGAGAAGTCCAACAACAGTGGTTGGGCTAAGGTACAACAACAGCGATGACTGGATGGACGTCCGACGACAGTTGACCGGTGAAAGTCGCACGACAGTGGCCGGGTGGCGAGGGATTGACGACGATTGTGCTTCAGGATTTATGTCTTAGAGGTCTCTGGAATCTCATGCCCAAGATCCCAGCTTCTAACGATCCCTTAATAATAGAATGTTTGTCAAGCATTTAAGTGCCTTAATAGTGTCAAAATTAAGCAATTTTGGTCTCGTTGGATTCTTCTCGTTGAGACGTTCGATTCAAATATAAGTAAGCCATACTTATAGATCATTTGATCATACACTTAATATTCTAAAGCTTTCAAATATGTATCAAATCATCGCTTTGAACCCATTTGGTCTCGGATTAAACTGATTTTGGTATCACTCAGTTCATCTTGTTGAGACATTCAATTTGAGTGTAACTTTGTTGAGATTGCACTTATGATGATCTCGAATTTAATTTTAAAAGTTTTCAATCGATATATATCTCAAGATTCATGCAGATCAAGACGATTTTATGTGACCTAACACCACTAAATAAATCCTTTTTAATTACAAAGAGGCAAACTTCCTAAAAATATCATTTTTAGTAAGATCATTAGAAGCGGCAATTTCATCATTACCTTAGCGTTCTGTTTATTACCAATCATTTTTGCCTTAAAACTTTTAGTCCTGAGGGATTCCATTGTGATGAGAAATATCTTGACATTGCATAGTCTCTTGAACATGATATTCTCATTTTATTGTCTTTTGATGATGCTGAGATGATTTTTATTATTTTATTTACTGTAATAATTATCACACTATCTTTATATTAATTTGAGACAAAAGTATAATCTATCAGGATGAGCTAAAGAGGTCTTAGATATATGCTGAAATTAGTGCAGTGTTGTATACTGCACTAATCTCAACATAAATTCTAAGACTCTTTAGTTCAAAATAAGTTTTGATGCAGCCACAAGTTTTAAAAAATGAAAAGTATGATTAGCTTTTCCTTAATACTCCAAATAGCTTTTCATAAAGAGCAATTCATACACTTGTCTTGATCAATCATAGACTTGTGTGACAAATAAGAATATTTTAATATATTTTTATGTTAGGATGTAAAAATAGATTATCAAAATTTAAAAATAAAGAACACATAAGGAAAAATAAAAAGTAAATAAATGCACAAATATTTGGTCCATGATATTTTTTTAAATTAAAAGGTTATTTTATTTTAATCATTTATCATCTTATTCAAATATATAAAAATGGTCCCCATACTATCTAATATTTTGTATGGTACAAAATCAATAAATATTTTAGGTTTTACAAGAAAATAAACTAAAATAAAAGCAATCCAAGTCAAATATGAATTAGTTAGGGTCTTATACAATATGATTTCTTAACTACGCAAAAGCTTAAGTGTTTTAAGGGCAAAAAACAAGTATTATTTTTGTTTTTATTGAATGTTTTCATGAGATGATGACGGCGATCGATGAGGACAGCCGGGGATGGTGGTTAGTAGTCATTAGAAGCAAGTAGTGGCTAGAATGGTTTTAGACTTCGTTTGGGACGGCTTTCTTGCTGCTTCTTAACTGAAAATCTACTTTAAGAAGCAGTAAAAAAAGCTGTTCCAAACGAAGCCTTAATTAAAATAAAAATTTGAAAACGTCTCAAAATATCTAAAAGTTATTTAAAATATTTTCGAAATTGACTCATTTATTTTTAAAAAAAAATCTTAAAAAAATATTTTTTTAACTAAAAATAAAAATAGACCAAAAAAAAACTCTTAGTAAGTTAAAATAATTGACAATTAAGGAAAATATTTGAAGAAACTAAACTTAATTACTATTATTATCAACATTAGTTATTTAACAGACTACAATAAGTAGATAAAAAAACAAAATTCCTAACTCAAATCTTACTTCCTCGCCTCTTGAAGCATAATCTCTCTATTAAACCTAATAAACTCCTCCACTCTTCTATTAAGCTCCTCATCCGACATACTCCAATAGTCACAATGCTCCTTCAACTCTGACCTCACAGAGTCCCCCAATGGCTCCTTCTCCTCTAGGCAAACCACCTCTTCTCTCTTCACACCTTCCTCAACAATCACTTCCTTTCTTCTTTCCTCTTCCTCTTCGCATGGCAAAGCCAAAGGCTTCTCCATTGGTACTATAGCCATCAAGCTTTGCTTTCTTGCTTTGTTGTGAAGCATGAACTCATCATAAATGTTGCGGCCGGTGTCGGTGCCCGTGTCATGATTGGAGAAGAAAGCGTCGGAGTCGGTGGCGACGATGACGATGATGATGGAGTTGGAGAGAAGGAACCAAAAGGCGGTGTCTTTGAGGAGGTTGGAGGGAGAAATATGGAGGAGAGAGATGTAGAAGATAGGGAGGGATATGACTAATAAGATGGTGATGGAAATGGAGATGATGGAGGTTAAGGGCTTGGAGGGAGTGGAATTTGGGAAGGAGAAGGATTTGAGGTTTTTGCACTCCATTTTTGGTTAAGTCGTGTGAGATTGTATGTAGAAATGGAAGTTGATTATCATTGATGTGTGAATTGTTAAGGTTGTGAAGTGGATGAGAGGGTTTATATAGAGGAGTGTAAAGGCAAATTAAATTATTGAGTTCAATTGGGACAATGATGGAAAGAAGGGGCCTTTGAGATTATTCCAACTTTATTATACCATTTTGGGAATTGAAAATTTTTTAGGATAAATGATAGAAATATTATTTTTAGTTTGACTTTTAGTTTGCCAATAATGTATTTCTCTTTATAAAAAAAACGAGTTATATTTTTATTTGATAACCAACTCTTTGATGGTTCTGATGAGCTCTTCCGAGGTTGGAGTTTGATCTTATTTGACGGTCCTCAAAATAAAAAATTGTGCTTGCTATGAATGATTGAGAAAGAAAACATTTATTTTATTTATTAAAAAATAATTGTAAAGCTTCTACTGCTATAAAAATGATTAAATGATTCATAAATATTAGTCCGTCAGGTCTTAATTGAGCACACAATATTCTACTATGATAACATAGTTTGGTTAACTTTATAGCATATGGAGAAAATTTTCTCAGTAGACCATCAATTGACGTAACAGTTAAACATAAAGCGTCAATATAAAAATTTTGAATGAACACGTAACTCACATATATATATATATATATATTTTAATATTTAACATTTCGAACCCTTTTAAATAATTGTAAAATATTATAAAAATATATTTATATAAATGCTTTACATATGATAAATATGATGAAGAGAGTAGGGCTTTTGAAGAGGGAGGTATGTGTGTGGGAGTGAGGAATTGCTTTGTGGTTAAGTTTTCACCAAGGAATGCCACTTTGGCTTTTTTTTTTCATGGATTCTTTGAGAATTTTGTGAAGGAAGTTAAAGATTATGGGCTTCTTAGTGGAATGGAGAATTTGGAAGGCATTGTTTTGTTGTCAATTGATCATTGTTATTGCTTTTTGCTTTTCAGATTATTCTTATTGGTTAGACAAAAAGGAGGAAGAGAAAAAAACAAAGCTCTATGCTTATAATCTTATGATTTGGTAGTTGAATTTCTATTACTCATTTGATTGAGTTAGTAAATTGTAAAGCTTAATTAATATTTTATAAAAAAATAATGCATATGGGAAATTAAAATTAATATTACAATTTTAAAATTCAATCATCATAGCTATTTATCGGTAGGTTTTGACTCAAGCGATATACTCGTTAATTTTTAAGATATTTATCTCGAGCTCGAGATTATGTAGACCCGATACGAAGAATTTTTTTTTGCTTTTGATGCAAGTTTAAAATCAGTAATTGACCTTGTGCTAATCACGTAAAAGTTTAAAATTTTGGTAAGATTTTTATAAATGTATCTTACAAATCAAACCCTATCTTTAAAAAATGTAATTTTTTGGTGTAAACAATCCCTTTAATATCAAATTACTTAGGGCATCTTCAACCGAAAAGCCCATTTTTCACTCCAAAATACAATAAAACTTCAAAATGCGGTAATTCATTTCCAATCAAACTCTATTACTTTCTTCTCTTTCGTGCGCTTCTTCATGTCACTGAGAAGGAACCGTCTTTCTCCTCTTTTGTAGGCTTCTTCCGCAAATCCCGTAAGCCAATTTTTTTGGCATTGGTGAACAATGCGTTGTTCACTCCCTGAGATTAGCGAATAATTTGGGTTGCTGATGGTCTTAGGAAAGAAAATATAGCTCAATTTTTCATGGACCAAAATTTTTAAGAATTACTGAAATTTGAGAATTTTGATCTTAAATCTTAGCTCAAGAAAAAAAAATTATATGTGGTATATATGCTCAACATTGATCAATATTGATATTAATACAATTATAATATCCATTAATTTATGATAAGCAGAACATTCTATATTTGTGTTAAGTACCATTAATTATGGACTTTGATAATTAAATGATAATACGCAATTTTAAACCTACTTATTTATTGCAACTTTATGCAGAAGAACGACATCTGGAAACTGCACACAGTATATAAATCGTTTGTTGCTGCCACTTAGAAAAAACTTTCACATCAAGCATGCTATAAGTCTTATAAGACAAAGCATTATATCCCACCGGGCTTAGGTGGGTTGGTGGGCGTGTTTGGTTGGGAACTCTCCATCCCAAGTTCGAATCCCCTCTCATACGGCACGACTCCTTAAGTGGAGAGAAAAGAACTGTGGGTCCTGCACTTGTGGGGTTGGTTGCTGGTAGACTCGCCGAGGGATTAATGGACATCGTCAAGCGCGTCACAAGCTGACGTGGCTGCGGGCTGATACCCTTGTTCCCAAAAAAAAAAAAAAAAGACAAAGCATGATTGAATCTGTCGATATAGAAATAGATAGCTTTGTTTCATCTAAAAAAGTGATATATATATATAGCAACAATGAAATATTTATTAGAGAGTTCTTAGACTTTATTTGGGATAACAGCTTTCTAAATCAAAGTTTTAATACAAAAATTTTTGAACTATAAATGTTTATACTAAAAATGTGATTTAGAAAACAATAAGAAAGCTGTTCCAAATGAAGGCTTTGTTTGGGACGGCTTTCTTACCGCTTTTTAAAGAAGCTTTTCAGCAAAAAGATTTTAATTTTGTACTAAAAAGCTGCTTCAAAAAGCAGAAAAAAAGTTGTCCCAAATTAAGCCAAAGTCTTAGGCTCCGTTTGGGACTGCTTTCTTGCTGCTTTAAGAAACAATAAGAAAGCCGTCCCAAACAAAACCTTAGACTTCATTTAGTTCAACTTTTTTACTGCTTCTTAAAGCAGTTTTATAGTTCAAAAAATAAAAAAAAAATTATACTAAAAAATTGATTTATGAAGCACTAAGAAAGTCGTTTGAAGTCTTAGGCTTTGTTTGAGACCGCTTTTTTATTGCTTCTTAAAGTTTAATTTTTATAGTAAAAAGCTGCTTCAAGAAGCAATAAAAAGCCGCCCCAAATGAAGCCTATAATCTTTGGTCTCTCCTCCTTAAAGAAGAATAATGAAATAAATAGCAAAAATCATATGAAGACAACTCCTACGCCACAAGGCTATTTCATATTACAATATGGAATCCCTTCTATATAGTTTATGTTTATTATATTATATAAGTATCTTTTATAATTATGGAGAAATATATCATTTCAATCGGGCTAGACTTTTGGTGTTTTTTTTTTCTTAATTTTTTACGTAAAAATTTTGGTCTCTATAATCTTTTTTGTTTATATAATGAAATAAATAGCAAAAAGTCATATGAAGACAACTACGCCACAAGGCTATTTCATATTACAATATGGAATCCCTTCTATATAGTTTATTTTTATTATATTATATAAGTATCTTTTATAATTATGGAGAAATATATCATTTCAATCGGGCTAGACTTTTGGTGTTTTTCTTTTCTTAAATTTTTACGTAAAAATTTTGGTCTCTATAATCTTTTTTGTTTATATATATGATGAATTTTCATACATAATTAAGATATTAAACTCTCTCTATTATCACGAATATTCTATCTTACAACAACATAATTAAAATTGGATAAGTATGAGCTTAAAGATTATTAAATTTATATTAAGATTAAATGCCATAAAATTTTTATGGATTGCATTAATCTCAAATTAATTCAGTGATTATGAGGATATCTTAACATTTTTTTTCTCTAAAATATTGTGAAGCACTCCCATTGGGCCTCCCACGAAAAAGAAAGCCCCAATGGGCTCCTGAATGCAAGCTCTGCTAGTGCCAGAGTCGGTCCATTTATAATTTGTGCTTTTGTTACAGAGCTATGTGATTCATTTGCGAACATTTTTTTTTTTTTTTTTAAATTGAAGTATAATTAGTAGGCAGATAGAATAATTATATTATTAAGAAACAAAGAGCGAACTGTTGAAATCTAATTGTGTCGATTAATAGGGTTGTACTGTTGCTTTGGACCTCAATTCCATCAGTTGAGCTTTTTTTTTTGTATAGCTGTATAGTACCCCAACGATGCGCACTCGAGCGCTCTAGTGCTGCATAGTTTGCTTGAAAAAGACAAAGAGCAAACTGTTGCGATGCTCTAGATGAGTCATTATGGCACTGTCATGCTGGCATGAGACAGAGTTGAGCACCACGACGCCCCAAATTTGGCACTACGATGTTGCAAGACGGGCTAGAAGTTTTCATTCTCGTTTTTCATTAAGTGTTGTGTCCCTTGGGGTTTCCATATCTATGTATTTGTTCTTGTGTAAGAATGATGCAATGGTGTCGAGAAACAAAGTGTAATTAAGAGAGAAGAGAAATCTATACTATTTATCCTAATATTTACAATGGATTTCTTGGGGTGGTGTGCTCCATTGTTTTTGCCTAGTTTAGGAATTTTCTCCGATAAATCCTTGTGTTATTTATTTCCATTTACTTCCCCAAACAATTTTAGACATATTTTTTCAAGAAATAAACATCAAACATATTTGACTACTTTAGAGGATTACCAGTTATATAAAGTAAAAATTTTCATATATATCATTTACAAATATAATAAAAAATTAGATGGTACCCCACCGGGCTTAGGTGGGTTGGTGGGCGTGCATGGTTGGGAACCCCCCATCCCAAATTCGAATCTCCTCTCATATGACACGACTAAGTGGAGAGAAAAGAACTGTGGGTCATGCACCTGTGGGATTGGTTGCTGGTAGACTCACCGAGGGATTAGTGGACATTGCCAAGCGCGTCACAAGCTGACGTGGCAGCGGGCCGATACCCCCGTTCCCCATGGGCGGATCCCCATAGTGTTTTTAAATTTTAGAGGGTATATTTTGAAATATTTTAGGTATTTTTGGTATTTTGCCCCCTCTTAAAATTTTTTTTTTGTCTAATTTTATCAATCATAATCATCTTTGTCCATCCCCTATTAAATTTTTTTTTTGCCCACCATAAAAAAATAAGTTGGATCCGCCCCTGCCGTTCAAAAAAAAAAAAAAAATGGGGTCCCATAAAAATACAAAGCGCAACTAAAGCGCAACCAAAGCGCAACTAAAGCGCAAGTCAAAAAGCGCAACTAAAGCGCAAGGTGACGCGGCAAATTTTTATTGGCTGTCCGAACTTATCTTTTGGCTCCGGTCACCTGACCCAATAATTTGCCCTTCACCTGAGGCGACCTGCGCATTGTTGGGGTAGACAAAACTCCGAGCGAGATAAGCCTCTTCCTTACGCGAAATTATTTATACTTATCTTCTTCTTCGCCTTTCATTGCGCCAACGAGAAGCTTGAGCACACAAATTAATTTATTTTTCATATTTTTATTCCCCATTTTCAAGCTTCTCTCAAATTTTCTGGAGATCAGCAATCGGACAAACGCGGGCTGAAAAAAAAAAGGTTTTTTTAAAAATCTGTTATTTGTGGATGCGAAGGCTGTGTACATTACCACCTTGTAAAGCTCATCTAGAATGTCGCCAGTTTATCCATCCTCCGTCATAGTAGCCCTCCTTGTCTCCATTTGAGTGATAACCCTTTCATCTCTCTCTCTCTCTCTCTCTCTCTCTCTCTCTCTCTCTCTTTCCTCTTCTAATCTCCAACTACGACATCACATTTCTTGATTTGTCAATCCTGGGGCATTTATTCCTGCTTGCAGGAGCCACTTAGGTCTGCTTCTTTTCTCATCAAATGCGCTTTTGAGGTTTTCGTCTTTTGGGAATTGATAAAAAACGCAATTTTTAATTTGAAAAAGGTTTCCTTTTCTGTTTTTAAGTTTTTTTATTCTTGATTCTTTTATTTTTTAAAGGCTGTAGATACTTGTGTAGCATGTTGCAAACTTCTGGAGAATATATTTTTAACTCATTGATTACTTAGATTTTTTTGGTTTGGTGTAGGAGATTTTACTGCGAGTATGGAGATAACTAATGTTTCCGAGTACGATATCATCGCCAAGCAGAAGTTGCCAAAGATGGTTTATGACTACTATGCTTCTGGTGCAGAGGATCAGTGGACGCTAAAAGAGAACATGGAAGCATTTTCTAGAATACTGTAAGCTTTTTTGTATTTATCTTTGCGTTCTTTCTCTGATGGTGTTTGTTTTTGCTGTTTTTGTTTGGAGTTAGTTCTCATTGCCTTAAGATTGATGGACATCTATAATATATATTTCTTCTCAGAAGCATTATGAGAATTCCCTTTTTATTTGTTTTTGTAACAAGGATTTGAATCAGATGCTCTTGGAATTTGAATTTGTTGGTGTGAGTTTCCATGAATTTTCCTTGGCTCTCAAAATCTCTCAAAATATTGGAAATAAATCACCAAAACAAGGCCGGCAAAATTTTGAGAAGGAGCATGTGTGAATCCTATCTTAACAATTGGAAAACAGGCGCAACAATAATATCAAGCTTTTATTCCACTACATTGGGTTGGCTTCATGAATCCTTTTTCTCCATTGTGTCTTATTAAGAGTCAAATTCTCATTTAAATCTAATAAATAGTCATTTCTAATATTTTATAACCAAGTCTTTTTAGGACTACGTCTCCCTTTCTTAACATTATCCAAATTTAATACATCTATTCTCATAGCAATTTCATGGGAAGGCTGACCTTTTATGTGATCAAACCATCGAGGACGACCCTTTCTAATCTTAACTGCCATTGGAGCTACTCCAACTTTTTCACATATTTACTCGTAACACATTCTATCTCTAAGAGTGAAGACACTCCACCTGAGCATGCTTATCTCTACAACACTTAACTTAATTTTATGTTTCTCTTTTAATGGCCAATATTTTGCGTCATAAAGCATTGCAAGTCTCACCACCATCTTTTAGAATTTTTTTTTAATGTTTGAGGGGTACTTTTCTATCATACAACAGGCTTGATGCATTCCTCCACTGCAACCATCCAACTTGAATTCTACTTATTTTCGGACTCCGAGAGTTTTGACGTTTGAAAATAGGGGGGAAATTGTTGCGTCTTGGAACATTCACGACTGTAGAGAGATATAAAGTTTATTGTCCTAGTTTTGTACAAAAATCCAACATACAAAAAGATAAGAGAGAGGGTTGCAACATTTATAAAAGAGACTAGAGTTCTTATGTGGAAATCCCTGAAAAGGGGAAAAAACCACGGGGTCTAGATCAGTTTGAATGAATCAACTAGTATTTGTAATTGATTACAAATGATGCCCTTTTTCGGGGGAAGTCGTTGGCTCAATATAACACATATACAGCATATTGAGAACTTTATATGGATGAAAGAATCCAATGATATGAGAGTTGTCCTCAAGAGAGTGTTGGGATGCTTATCAAATTGTTAGGGCAATATTTGGGCGATAGATGTTGGAGGGACTCTAGTCGGAAAATGATGGAGGTTGGAAGGACTGTAGTTGGGAGACAGTGATCAGAAGGATCATAGTCGGCTGTCAATGGAGTTTGAATGGATTGTCTTCATTAGTCAGAAGGACTGTAGTCGGGCGACGGTGGTCGGAGGGACTGTAGTCATTGGGCGATGGTTGTCAGAGGGACCGTAGTTGAAGGGAGACGCCGGTCGAAGGGATTGCAGTTAGACGACAATGGTCGAAAGGACTGTAGTCGGGCGATGGTGGTTGGAGGGACTATAGTTGGCGAGTGACGATGGTCTGAGTGATTGTAGCGGACAACAGTTGTCGGAGGGACCGTAATCGGCAGGCGACGGTGGTCGGAAGGATCGCAGTCAGACAATAATGGTCGGAATGATGGTAGTCGGGTGATAGTGGTCGAAGGGACTGTAGTCGGCTGACGATAGTGGTCAGAAGGATTGTAGTCGATGGGTGATGACAGTCAGAGTGGCCGTAGTTTGCAGTTGGAGCCTTGGAGGGATCTTAGTGGTGGGCGACAGTTGACGCAAGGACCGTAGTCGATGGGCGATAGTGGTCGGAGGGTTCATAGTCAACAAGTGATAGTGGTTGGAGGAAGGTTCATTAGTGGCTTCTATATGGAGGTCCGACGGTGATGATCAACCATAGATTCAACAACGACGACCTGGTGGCACAGATTCATTGGCGGTGGTGCTGGGATGGAGCTTCAAGATTCTTCAACCTCTAGAGCTCGTATCTTCTTACTTCTTCCTTCTCTCTCATATGAAGAATGTGGTCTATTTATAATTTTTTAGAGTGTCATGCTCAGCAAATATGGAGAAAGGACAGGACAAATTTAAAGTGTTCCATCAGATGGCTAGTATCAATTCCCTCGATCATGGATCGTTCCTTAAACATTTATATGTCTTAATGATGTTGGAATTAAATGATCTTAGGCTCATTAGATTCGTCTAGTCGAGCTGCTCAATTCGACTATAAGCATGTCATATTCATATATCATTTGACCATCCAATTGATGCTTTGAAGCTTTTAAATAGGCTTCGGTCAATTGATTTTGGTTCATTTGGGCTCGAATTGGATTGAATTTGGTGTTATTGGGTTTGTCTCATTAAGATGTTCAATTTAACTATAAGCTTGCCAAAATTAAAATTTGGATGGTCTGAATTTAATTTTGGAAGTTTTTTATTCATATTTGGATCGAGATTTGTGCCCGATTAAGGTGATGTTTGGTGACGTATAACTTGTAATAATATTCCCATCTATTTAACCATTACTTTGAATAATAGATTCGAGATATCTAAAACATGTACTCTTATTGATGACTTAATCACCCAAAGTCACAATCCCCCTACTAGATCTATTACTACTAAAATTATACTCCATGTAGTCGGTTTTAGATCTACTCAAATGAAAACCTTTAGACTCTAAAGTCGACCTCAATAATCAAGTTTACTTTCAACTCCCTCTCTTTTCTTACTAGCAAGAAGAATATCATCAGCAAAAAACTTGCACCAAGGTACATACTTTTGCAAATGTTTAATAAGAACATCCATGACCAAAGCAAAAAAGATATGGGCCTAAACTGATCCTTGATGTAATCCAACTGAAATAGGAAAATACTTGGTCAAACTATCTTGTGTTTGAACACAAATAACATCTCCTGCATACATATTCTTAATGACTTGAATATAAGCACCTTTCTTTTCTAGAACTCTCCAAAGCACTTCTCTTGTTTATCATATGCTTTGTCTAAATAAAAATAAGTATTATATGTGGATCCTTCTTATTATCTCTATACTTCTCTAGTAATTTCATTTCATAGTATGAACTCTGTCAACTCTACTTGCATGCTAAGTGCGGATTGGATTTAACTATTGATTTTAGGGATTATCCTATATGTGTTAATAATTGAGAGTTTGTATGTTTTTATTTCTTAATGAGTTTCTTTTGAAGACGCCTTCAAGGCCTAATGTGAACTTAAAAATCAAATTCCTAGGTATATTTCACAGTTGTATGTTCATTTGTTGATTCAATTTATGTCGATTTTGATCCTTTTGAGCAGGAGGATCGGACTTGGGATTTAAACTGTGCAGCATTCTCAGACCTTAGGCTTAAAAGTTTGCTATAAAGGTTAGAACACATGTGGGTGTACGCTTTCAGTGCATGCATTTGTGTATTTTAGTGCATTTTGCATGTTGCATATTTGCATATTATATATGTGTATCTTTAGTATATATGCATAATGCACTTACACATTCTCGGTGCATTTGCATATTGCATTTTTTTCATATGTGCATTTCAACACATTTTCATATTATATATGCAATTTTCAGTGCACTTTTATTGCATTTGCATATGTATTTGCATATTACATCTTTTGTATTCATGCATAATTCACTTGCACATTCTCAGTGCAATTGCATATTGCATTTGCACATTTCAGTGCACCTGCACCATCATCAGTGTATTTTCATGGTTATCAGGATTGAGAATTTAAGAATTCATTTTCTAACATTTCGATCCACATAGCATTCTCGGACGTCATGTTTGCATATTTGTTGTGCTCGTCAGAGCCTATGTTGACTCACCATTTTCAAGATTTATTTTCTCATGCAATTTTCAGTGTACTTGCTTTGCGTACTTACATGACTTTTAATGCATCCGTATGACATTTGCATGGGATATCCAATGCACTAGTTGCAATTGCATGTTTTTCAATTTTGGTGAGATTTAGAGCTTACCTCGAGATGTGTGTATGTGTCCTGAAAGTGTCCGAGTTTGATCACTTTGCTCACCTTTAACTTTCTTGCACAAATTTTGAAGCACTATGCATTGGAATTTGAAAGCTAATTACAAGATCCGTGTAAGCATTGATCATGTAAATTCTAATTATTCGCCTTTGTATTTTATAATTTGAGGAATTTTAGGGTATCACTTTTTGTCCGCTTATACGAGGTGTTTCGGATCCGATGGCTAAGAAAGTAGTATTTGACTATTGCATTTTAGTATATTGCGCTGAGGATTTTTTCCTTCGACTGATCTACTCGCCATAGTTTTTTTTTTTGGAAAATTTCACGATTGGAGGTTGTCTGGAGTATATTGCACAAGTTTAATATACGTCAAGTTAGCTCGTGCGATGTCTCTTCAGTCGACGTTGATCTCATCGGCTATATCGAGCTTTCTCACCTCAGTTGTTGGATGTATTTTGGAGGTCAACAACCTATTGGCTGACGCCACAGACTTATAGGGCGACGTCGCCAATTTGATGGGTGATTTGTCGGGTAGTCATCCTACTGTGTGATTGACTTCTTGCATAACGTTTTTGATGCACGGCCGAATATTGTTGACCTATGAGTAGTTTTCATGAGTAAGTTGAGGTCATCAAAGGCTTGGACTAGTTTAACTTTACTTAAATCAAGCTTTTAAAATATTGAGTGTACAGTATTGTTATTATAATAATAATTATTATTTTGTTTGACGAAAGAAATAATAGAACCAATGAAAGCCCATGGGCATTTTCATAGAAATTGCCTCATGTATGGTGCTTTCATTAAAACGGCCATGCTACGATTGTTTTCGATGAAAATGCCTACAAATAGATGTTTTCAGGCTAAAGTTAAAACCATCTAAACTCAGAGCATTTTCGCTGTTTTTTAATTTTTTTTCCTGAATCACGCTCCTATTGCTAAATTAGGATTTACATGTGTTCCTTCTTAAAATTTTGCCAAACAAATCTTTGGGACTGGTTTGGTTGAGAATTTTACTATCGGAAGCACAAAGCTGTCACAAAGAGGGTTGGATAAAAAAAGTTTAAATTGTTTCCAAGAAGAGTATTGATATACTCCCCAAATAAATCTATATAAAAAACGTTTCATGTCCATTTTTTTTTGGTGATTAAAACAAATAGGGAGCATTTTAGATACTTTTGTTCAGGAAGAGTTTTTTTTAGCCCATATAATTTTAATAATTTTTGGTATGAGTTTGTTTGTGTGTGTGTGTGTATATAGGAGCATAATATTTCTCTTTCTAGTTTTGAAAATTTGCTTTTAGAAAGTTATGTTTATAACTTGCTTTTGAAACTTTTTGATAGAACACTTATAAGGTTTTGTTTGGTACGACTTTCTTTTTGCTTCTTATAGCAGCTTGCAATTTTTGTACTAGGAAGCTGCTTTAAGAAGCAAAAAAAAAGCCGTCCCAAACAAAGCCTAAACCTTTTTGTATGAAGAGGGGAAAGTTATTAAAGTCACGGTTATGACTGTAAAGCACCTTTTTTTCCTGCTTACTTTTGCTTGTACAATTTAGTAAGAGACGGGACGACAAATGACCATTTGTACTGCTGATTAAAATGAAGCTCAAGTGGTCCTTGAATAAATATATATCAATTGGTATTGCCTGACTGAATGACTTCGGATTATAATCATTTCTGAGTTCAAATGTCCCTATTTCTATGATATGGTGATCAGTACTTAGAAGATGTCAAAGATGGGTTTATTTCTAAAAAATTACATAAAATCTAAATATATTTGCCTTTGCAAGTTATAATATTTTTCATCTTTCAGAACCTTTTGCTCAACTGCAAGTACTATGAATGTCTCTAAAAGTCTTTTATCCTTGTTGCTGCAACTTCTCCTGATTGTTTAGGTTTCGGCCCCGTATACTTATTGATGTATCAAGAATTGATTTGACCACTACTGTCCTGGGATTCAAAATCTCTATGCCCATCATGATTGCTCCAACTGCTATGCAGAAAATGGCTCACCCAGAAGGTAATTATTTCCTTAGAACTTGTACATAGACTGTTTTGAGTTTGAAGTTTTAATTCTATAGCCAATGGCTTTCCTCTTTTGGTTATATTAAGCACCCATAAGATGATAATTTCATTAATAGTTGTACACCAACTGCGTGTTTGAGCTTGAAGATAAAGTTCTATTGGGTTGTATGGTTAGCTTTGTGCATGTTTAATCGTAATTCCCTAAGCCCCAATCATTTTCCCCTTAGATATTTTCTTAAGCAGCTCTGAACGCTTTCTGGAATTTATATCTAAATATATGATTTTTTCCCCCTTCCTTTTACTTCCTTAAATGAGAACTACAAGTCATCTTTTGTTTAATAATATTTTTTAGGTGTGATTTTCTTTAAGAAATTCTTTCTGACGAATGTAATGATGCATTGCTACAGGAGAATATGCAACCGCAAGGGCAGCATCAGCAGCTGGCACTATTATGGTTTGTATCTGTTATTTATTCTTTGAATGAAAGAATAGATAAAATGTAGATCTTGGTCTATAAACTAAAATGGATTTTGTGCATGTATCATTATTACTGTAGAGAGCGTGCAGAGTTTTTTGCAGTGAAGCTTTATTTAGCCTCTGCTTCAAAATCTTTAGTTTTCTGTGAAAGAATTGGCAAATGGCATGATTTTTGTAGTAAGTTTCTGGAGTCTTCCAGGCTACTCTTTTTAGAATGAAAAATATTGGCTTAAAGAGAGTGTTTATTGACTCATTAAAGCCTTGTAGCATAATTCATGATGAATCTCTCACCGATGACCTTGAATGAAACATATGAAGCCAACAAAATAGTATTGAGGTAAATTGATGCTTAGTATCAATACTATAAAATTTATCATAGTATTTACACTTTAGAAGTGCTTTTTCTTTTAAGGTTCTTAATTGATCCATTACCACCAGTCGTACACATAAAATAGGTGGTAGACAAGCGATGTTTTTAATTTATATTCTACAGTGGAGTAAGAACCAAACAATATTTCATTAACATAAGAACTAGACAATCATATAAGGATGAAGATGGTTCTTCATAGAATACCCCTCTCTCTAGTTCTATGATTCTATGATTACCTTTCTAAAATATGAACTCTCACCTCTTTAGTTCTGAAATATCAAGTTCCCAATATATTTCTCCAATTCACCCTTTCTATTTCCTACAACATCTCCTTATATAACATGAAATATTAGTTACATTAAAAAGTGGGAAAATATTAAGTTACTTGGTATGACGACAAGTACGATGTCAAATTCGTTACAAGAAATCATGAATACAAATTTAAGACTTTTGTGTTAATTTTGACATTAATTTTGTTATCAATTGATGTCATATACGCTTTGCAACATCTTCTCAGTCACCCTGCAACAATCTTCTCAATCACAAAGTTCGCTCTGGGGCATCTTCCTCCGACTTTTTCTATGTTCCTCCCAACCTAGCCCTTTTTTTGTTTGAATTATGATAAAATCCTTTTAAATAAACAGTAATTTCTTAAGATTCTTATTAGAACTGTTATAAACTTTGTCATTCAACATTGAAGGCCCGAATGGATTCAAGTTTCTCATATCACCAAGAAGTAGTTCTCTATGAGGGCAGGCAAGGCCGATTAGTATGAGTTATCTCCGATTTCTTTAGAATTATGAACGACCTAAACTGATTTGATTTGATCTTTCTACCTTTTTTCCTTTAATCTCTCATTGCTGATGTGAAGCAATGTAAAAACTAATTTCTAATTTGTCAGCACTTTTAGTGAATTTTCTTGCTTTCCTCTAGAAATCTTTTGGCTCTCTTGAGACCTTCATCTCTACTCTTGAGATTGGCCATTGATTATGCTAAGAAATCCTATTTAAAAAGAATTTTAGATAGGTATCCTAGAACTGAAGCTGGTTTGTTGAACTATTTGATATCCTATTGAATACGAATTTGATATTTGACATAGTTTCACCATTAATTTTTTTAGTGCCTTAGGCTGAATCCTCCCAGCGGGTGTATAACAGTTCTATTTACCACTTCAGCTAGCTGTCAATTTGTGGATGGAAGCTTGTGTTCCTCTTCAAAGTAGTATCTTATCATATCCCATAATGATTTCCAAAAATTACTAAGAAAGTGGGAGGCTAAATTTTGGATGTTGAGCTTTGTAAATCAATGTGTACCCAAGCATTCTTGAAAAGAAACCTAATTCTTCTTCTCTTGTTATGCTCTACTTACATTGCCATGAGTATTATCATCTTTGAGAGCATGTCCACCACAACAAAATATAATAAAGTTACAAACACAGTATTGCCTGAGTCATCGGATGTTATGAGAGCATATCTGCCTTCTTATTATTCCCTCTCTTCATTTATCGATTAATGATGGATCAAAAACTTCTAATATATATTATATTTCTGAGGTTATAAGACTTTGCTACATTTTTTATAGATGCTTCATGAAATGATCTTTTACTATCATGACTTCAATTATTAATTTTATGAAGGAGATTTTAAATGTATTGGCTTACTGTGATTTTAATGAGATAAAAAGAGATTTTAAATGCTTAAGTGCTTAAGTTACCGGATTTTAATAATGTGTTTGAAGTTTCATATGATACTTATGATATTGGTATTAGAGGAGAGTTGAGTTAGGAAGGATATCCCATTATATTCTTTAGTGAGAAATTGAATGAAGCTAAACAAAAATATTCAAAATATTAAATGCTTAAGTGCTTAAAAGTCCCAGTTTCGCTGGTTCAATTTTTGAATTATTTAAATAATTAATTAATTTAATATATTAAAAATAAAATATTAAGTAATATTTATAAATTTAAGATCTAACCTTAATATTTTATTGATATAAATCTATAATATGATTTTAATATATTATTTATAGGTGTAAATTATATCTAGAAATATAAAATAAGTTAATAATAATAATTTATATTAAATTTATAAATTTCTATGTAAGCTAATTTTTTTTTAAATTTGAATTAAATTTAAAGATTGAATTTGTTTAAATTTAAAATTACCTAAGATATTAATGTGTGAATTCAATTATTTTTTAATTAAAAATTTATGTTATTACATGATTATTCTGTCATTTAAGTTTTATTTAAATAATTTTTATATTTATTACATCATTCGGTTCTACCTCGGTTGAACCATTGAACCCTGAACCTTTTCTTCTGGTTCTATGTCTGATCTGATTTCCACAACCTTTGTTATGATAGAAGAATACCTTGTTTGGAGGGAATGACTTCAGAATTCACCCAAACTTTTATAGAGAATGTGAAGCAATCTGGTGGTGAACTATTTAAAAATCTAATCATGTAAGATGTGGAGCTAAATGATATAGAATAGTGGAGGAGGGTTGACCAAAATTATGATGTCATTGATCAATGAAGCTTTGGTGGTGAAAGCAAGCACAAGTTTTGGGCGGGGACACCCATAGATTCCATCTTTACTCCTGCCTTGTGTAAGGATAGTTTTCGAGCAAATATCCTTGACCAAAAAGAAATGCCATAAGAATTCAATGGAAACTTTATTATTTAAAATAATTTAATAAATAAAAATAAGACTTTTCTTTATAGAGGGTACGTATAAATTTTTTTTGTAAACAAATAATGTGGAAGAAGATGAGAAAGTGGTTAAACCAAAGTGAGTGATGGGTAGTCCAGTACAATTGCCAATATGAACGATTTCGGCGGTGGAATATTCTAATGAAAGGAGAGTTTTTGGAGATATATTTTGACATGATGATAGCATTTTAGTGGTAGGTGTGGGTGTGGAGTTTTTTTGGTGTTGTGGTGGTTGGGTAACTAGATGAACTTGAGGAGTGTAGTTCTATTGAGGCTGAGGTTTGATGGGAATGTAAGTAAAGTTAGGCTTTCATTGTGCAGAATGTTTTTTTTTTCTATGGTACAATTGACATTCTCCAAGGTTAAGTCAGGCTTTTGGAATTTTAGTTTTCAAAAGTAAAGGTTGAATTTGCTTTTACTGTCTCTTGAACTGGGTTGAACTTCCTATTACCATTGCCTCAGTTATATGATCATATTTTACCAATTAATGATTTGTTACCACAGCTTTGCTGTTTAGTAAATAAGTAAGGCTTCTTTTTCTCTAGACGTTGTCATCGTGGGCTACATCGAGTGTCGAAGAGGTTGCTTCAACTGGGCCTGGAGTTCGTTTTTTCCAGCTTTATGTAAGTAATCTCCCTTCTCTTAATTTGGGAACATTGCATTAGCTAATGTACTATAGTAAGTAGATTCAACTTGTATTCTCAGGTCTACAAAGACAGGAATGTAGTTGCACAGCTTGTTAGGAGAGCTGAGAGGGCTGGCTTCAAGGCCATAGCCCTTACGGTGGATACTCCTAGACTTGGCCGTAGGGAAGCTGATATCAAGAACAGGTATGCCAAGTGTTTTTGTTTTTTTAACATAGGTTGTATATTTATGATTTTATTCACTTAATTTAGGTTTCGTTTGGGATAGCATTCTTAGTGCTTTCTAAAACAGCTTTTTTAGTACAAAAATTTAGTAAACAAAAAACTTTTGTATTAAAAGCTGCTTTCTGAAGCAGTAAAAAAGCCATCCCAAACAAAGCCTTAGACTGTTTGGTACTACTGTTGCTGTATGAAATAAAAAATTACCCTTATATTTGTTTAGAGCTTTTTCACAACTCAGTCTACATGCTCCTGAAGTCATATAGATAAGATGCAGTTACAACTTGGTGAATTTCTAACTTTGTTTCTCACATAATCCAAGCTTTTGTTTCTTCAAGAAGTTCAGTGGGAAAAGAAGAAGAGAACCAAGCCTAAGATGGCTAGTTTTCAATTGCTAAAGCTTTCTTATATCTAATTGTTAGATAGGATGCAAATATTGACTTTGATTTGTTGATGAGAGAGAGAGCAATGCACAAACGTCTTCTTGAAATGGCATTTTCTCCAAGAATGTAATGCTAACATATACATTATCATGTAGGTTTACATTACCTCCATTCTTGACCCTTAAGAACTTTGAGGGCTTGGACCTTGGGAAGATGGAGAAGGTGAGTCTTATAAGAACCACTTGCTTTTGTTAATAGGTGTTTTCTAAATTCTTTTGTGGTTCTTCTTAGTCTGATGATTCTGGCCTAGCATCATATGTTGCTGGTCAAATTGACCGGTCTCTGAGCTGGAAGGTATGCTTTTGTCTTGCTCTTAGTAAATTTTGCTTGTATATATATAATTTTTTTTTTCTGACCAACTAGAACATATGCTCACTATTAGTAAGTAGGGAGGGGTGTACAAAGGTTGAGCTTGGACAAACTTGACCTTTGCTGTGTTCGGATCATTAGATTTCATTTTGTTAAAATTCAATTCATGTTTGAAATTGTTCGTTAATTATTTCATCCCTTATGAGCTTTTTGGCCTGTGAAAATTTAAAATTTCTAGCTTCTTTTTTGTGAATTAAGCATACAGAAGCCCACTATGATCAACTTGTCAAAATTTACCAAGGAAATCAATTGATATATATATATATATATATATATATATATAAGTATACTAATGAAGTGCAGCTCTAATTGTCAAGAATTTTAAAAAAAAATGGTGCATACCTCCTATGATTCTGATAGAAGTTGTCAAGCTGATAGTACACATATATTTCTCTTGGCCTCAATGCCTAAAACAAACTAAAGCCTATTTATAGGCTCCTACAATCTATACAAATAGCTACACAAATAGCTATACTATGCCATACAAGAAACCTATACAAAAAAGCAAACCTAAATCTAGGAACAAATATCCAACAATCTCCACCTTGGTCCTAGATTTACAAAACAAAAGATAACCACTGTTCATAAAGAACAGCCAAAGAATAACCCTGTCGATCTCCTCCGCCAAAAGCGTCCACCGACAGTTAAAAGTTTCTCGAGAACTGATCAACCATCTTCTTGAGTTTCTAGCTCCACCTCCTGACAGATCTTCACCTGTCGCACTGCGTCCAACGCAGCCAATTCCCCAGCACCCCTTGCCCGGCTTCCGCGCCTTGTGCATCCACCTGCACCCTTCGCCTCGTGCCCGCACCCTGTGCCTCCAGCCAGCGTCTAACGCTTTCACCCCGCGCCTGCGCCTTGCACCCATGTGGTCTGTCTCCAACCATATCCTGCACGTATCCATCCGTGCAGCGAGCCCTGCCCCTTCACCTGCGCTCCGCTAGTCACAAGACCACGCTTCGCACTGCCGCATCCGGCCAGCACCCTGCGTGTCTTTCACCAGTGCCCCGCGCTCCTATGCGGCCTCCTCGTGCACCGCATGACCTCGCACCTCCAAGAACTCCGCACTCCCGGCACTGTTCCCCAAGAACAAGCCAACTCCACCTCAAAGATCCAATCCGATCTTCTTGTCTCCCGGACTCCACTTAATTCCAATGCATGTCGCCTGTACCTCAGTCGGAAGCTCCACCTTGAAAAAAAGATCTCCCGGACTTCTGCTACAGTCTTGAATATAATTTCTTCAGCAGATAAAGCCGCATGCCAAAGCCGGCTTCCGTCTGATCCCGCCTCCAGTAACCCCGCCGGACGTCCAAAACTCCACCGCAAATCTTCCGATTCTTCTCCGGCGACCGCGTCGGAGGATGCGGGCGCTACTCCTCACCCCTACCGGCAACTCTGGCTTCTCTTTGTTCCGCAACCAAGGCACGTTCGTTGACTACGTTGAACCAACTCCGGCTTCCAAATTCATATTGCAAGCACCATAAGCCACCTCCGGTTTCTTGCGTGCAGACCAGCGGTACCTGCCTTGCCACCGATTTCTTCCAACGAATAGCCTTTGCACGAACAAATTCTCTTGAGCAAGCACATTGGCGGCACCGGCAGCCACCACCTCCTCTCTTTTCTTGGACAGAACACCTTCCTCCTTGATCGCCACCAGGGCTCTGATACCAAATTGTTGAAACCAAGGAGGAGATCTTGAGAGATCTTCTTGCAAGAGATAGAGAGGGAGAGAGGAAAGCCAAACTCAGAAAATTCTATAAATCTTTATTTTTCTTGGCCTCAATGCCTAAGACAAACTAAAGCCTATTTATAGGCTCCTACAAGCTATACAAATAGCTACACAAATAGCTATACTATGCCATACAAGAAACCTATTCAAAAAAGCAAACCTAAATCTAGAAACAAATATCCAACATAATAATACTAACTTAGAAGATGGCCGGTTGCTCTTACCAAGGAAGATTAAATTAACTCTTTTGTTTTGTGAAAGATTATAACTTTGAGTGATCAAGTCATTAATAAGAGTACACATTTTAGATATCTTGGGTCTATTGTTTAGAGTGATGGTGAAATAGATAGGGATATTATTAGTAGAATTCAAGTTGGGTGGTTGAAGTGGTTGAATGCATCGGGCTTTTTGTGTGATAGAAAAGTCCCCTCAAACTTGAGGGAAAATTCTATAATATGTGGTTAGACCTGCAATGCTTTATGGTGTAGAATGTTGGCCATTAAAAAAGAAGCATAATATTAGGTTAAGTGTTGCAGAGATGAGGATGCTCAGGTGGATGAGTGGCTTTACTCTTAGAGACAGGATACAAAATGAGCATATACGTGAAATGGTTGGAGTAGCTCCAGTGGAAGATAAGATTAGAGCGAGTCGCCTTAGATGGTTTGGTCACATAAAATGGTGGCCTTCCGATGATCTGGTTAAAAAAGTGGATGTATTAAATTTGACTTATGTTATGTTAAGTGTAAAGGTAGATCTAAAAAGACATGGTTAGAAAATATTAGAAATGATCTTTTTTTATTAGATTTAAATGGAAATTTGACTTTTGACGGGCACAATGGAGAAAAAGGATTCATTTAGCTGACCCCATATAGTGAGATAAAGACTTGATGTTGTTGTTGTTGTTTTGCGAAAGATAAAAAATAATACTGGACGGTGAAATCAAATGATTTATAGCTTTACCATTAGGAGCTCACTGCATACAGAACCAATCTATTCATTAGAATTGCAATCATTTATGTGCTGAAAACTTTGAGCTCAGAAAACCATATTTTCTTTTGTATTTCTTTTCTATCAGCCTTTCCATGCAAGGTTCATTAAAATTTTTTTGCCATTTACCAGGATGTGAAGTGGTTGCAGTCAATCACTTCCTTGCCCATTCTTGTTAAAGGAGTTCTAACTGCTGAAGATGGTGAGGACTATCAAATCTTCAAATTTATTCTTATAAAATTACCTAAAGTTTCAAAGCCAAAATATTCATCCAAAGTTCATGCTCTTTAATTCCTAACATACAGCAAGTCTTGCTGTCCAAAACGGAGCAACTGGTATCATAGTATCCAACCATGGAGCACGCCAACTAGATTATGTTCCTGCAACTATCACTGCGCTTGAAGAAGTAATTTTCTATCTCGATTCTCTGTCGCATTTTTTTCACTTCAATGATTATAGATTAATGAAAACTTCTTTTAATATGATGAAATTCTATGAGCAATCCATAAGCCAAAGAGATTAAACATGAAATATTGCTTTCCATGATCCTTTTTTTCCTGGGCTAAATTCAGGTTGTCAAAGCTGCTCGGGGTCGAATTCCTGTGTTCTTAGATGGCGGTGTTCGCCGCGGTACTGATGTCTTCAAAGCACTAGCTTTGGGAGCCTCCGGTGTTTTTGTAAGTGACTATCCTATCGGCTATTAAGTCATATAAGAGTATTGATTTGTTAAAATATGAAGCTTTTTATCCAAATTATTCTGTGCGGACGCCGAACGCTGTCTAGAGATCAACCAAAATGTGTTACGTCACTTCTTCGCTCGGTACGGTTGACGTAACTATACCTGATTCGCCTCCGGATGTAGAGTTGTGTCTGGCATATGCACAGAATAATTTCTCTACTCATAGGCTTTAATTATTACTGGTTAATCAAATTCAACTTTGACCCCCCTTTATTTCTTCATTCTCCACAAAATACTTAAAATATTTTGTTCTTCATTTATCAGTTTTTCCTGCTGAAAAAGTTTTAAGACACTGATGCTTTAAGAACAATCTCAGATAGGAAGGCCTGTGGTATTCTCATTGGCTGCTGAGGGAGAAGCAGGAGTAAGAAAGGTGCTGCAGATGCTCAGAGATGAGTTTGAACTTACCATGGCTTTAAGTGGCTGCACCTCTTTGAAAGAAATCACTCGAAATCATATCATTACACCATCTGAGACAAAATACCCCATTTCGGCCAGGTTATAAGTCACCCTGAAGGATTCATTCCAAGGAAGAAGGAATGTCTGGTTTGGAGCATTTAATAAGCTTCAATGCTTGATGATTGTAATATATTGATAAGATTTGGTAAAAGTTGTAGCTGCCTCTATTGTATTTTCTTATTGTTGTTGCAATTATATTGAAAATTGATGATGCTATACTGATTATGTGGTTCTGATAAAAATGTGAGAAGCTTTTGCTTTTTCACTCAATTATTAATCTGTTTTCTTGATTTTGTTTATGGAGATTCTGTTTCCTGGGAGTAAGAATGGATCATGAAACCTCAGTGAAAGAAATATACATATGAGGTGTGTAAGTTTTTAGTTTAGGAGACGAGCTCTAAGGTGATATTCAGTTGGCTAAAAAAATGTAGTGTAAAAAAATAACTTTGGAATTATTTGAATGAATATAAAAAACATGCATCTGAATGTTTATTTTTATGTGGTTTGAAGTAAAATGAATTTAGTATAAAGTCTGAAGATGGTGACAGCTGGCGCTGATGCTAGTGGTGGCTAGCGATGGATGCAACGATGGTTAAGTAAGCCTGTTTGCCATGAAACCCCTTAAGTAAAAGATGTTAAACTCGTAAACATTGAGATGCATTTTAGTGTAATAGTTAAAATTTTATTTAACAAATTTCGTAGTTAAGCGTGCTTATCCTGGAGAAATCATGGGATGGATGATCTCCTAGGAAGTTCCATGAGGCTCTTTGACCAAAACGGATAATATCTCTATTAGTGATAATGAGTAAAATACCTCAACAACTAAACAAGCAAGAAAGTAAAAGCAGTGAAAAATAAATAACACCAAGATTTAATATGAAAAAATTCAAAATAAGGAAAAAAAATCACAGAGCTATATCACATCAAGAAATCCATTATGAAAATTGGGAGAGATAAGTATAGATCTCTCATCTCTATTGCTCTCTCTTTCTCTTCTCACATGCACCGTTCTCAATATCTAATATAACTAAAATTACAAGAGAGTCAAATAAATAACCCCAAGGGACAAAATCCTTTAGAATAACGAAAAAAAGCCGTCTAATTCGTCTTGTAGTGCTGCGACGCTCAAACTTTTGTCTTGATCCGTTGTGGTGCTATATCTAGACTTTTGCGGGGCTCCACTTTCTATCGTTCAGCATTGGGCGCTCGACAACACAACACTAGTGCACTAGGGTACACAAACCCAAGTAGGGGATAAACTCCTGCAACCCTCAACGAGCACGAGAAACTTGAGGTTCGAGACAAAAAACAACCCGATTGATTAACACAATAAAATTCCAAACATAACAATCTAGATTGTTAAGAGTTTGTGATGTTACAATTGGTATCATAGTGTTATGCCATGGGAGACACCTCTTTAACCCTATATGAGACAATGTGCTATATTGATTGGAGTCACCATTTGAACTTGTAGGGCCCACTTCTAGAATCTTATCTACATGGTGCATGATTCTAGGATAAAGATGCTGACGAGAACGTCCGTTATTTAAGTGAGGGAGATTGTGAAACCCCTTAAGTAAAAATGATCAAAACTCTTAAACATCGAGGCGCCTTTTGGTATAATGGTTGAAATTTTATTTAAGAAACTCCACAGTTAAGCAAGCTCATTCTAAAAAAATTATGGGTTGGGTAATCTCTTGGGAAGTTACGTTAATAGAACAAAACTGTTAGGCTCATAGGTCAAAGCAGACTATATATAGATAGCTAAGAGTTTGAACTATTACATTTGCGATGTAAACAGTTCTCGCTCAAAATTGAGCAAGTTTAGTTTAACTAAAAATGAATTAAAATAGTTTACACTACATTTACTTTATTTTGTATTCCTTTTTCATTAAATCAAACATCAATATTTTAAAATCCTTGCATTTAAAATACTTTATACCTACTTTACTTCCAACCAAATTGCTTGTAAAAGTGTTGTCAATCAGACCAAAAAAAAAAAAAAAAACACTGATATGCCTAAATTATTTCTTTCATTTTCTCTTTTCTTTTGTTGATGTTGAAATTGTAACATTGTGTTGACACACTCATTCATTGGACAATATAAAGTATATACACGGGAGTGATTATTGCATCCGGACACCAAACGTGTCCAGAGATCAATAAAAAAGCGCCACATCACTAGGCACTCGGTACCACACTCGATACCCCGCTCGATACCGACCGCGGTACCACTCGGTATGGTATCTAGACAGAATAATTTTTCTATATGCTCAACTTTTGAAGTAGAATGATTAAGATATAGGATTTTCTAATGTGGTTAAAACGATATGATGAATGTAAATTACAAGAAAAATTAAGGTTTTAACGCAAATACTTAAATTAAAAAGTGTGATTCTAAAATTTGAAATTTAAGGTTCAAATAATAATATTATAATCAAATAAATATGAAAATTTTAATTTTTTACAATCAGATTGGGTTGACTCGAATTGATCCGACGTAAATAAATTTCCTTAGAATTGGCATCCTCATGTGAACATTCAGATCGACAATATTAACATCAAAGGGGTCTTTTGAAATAAAACTTTGATTAGTGGATTCTTTTGGTACAAAATTAGAGATTTGCCACACAGCGCTTCATTTAGTGTTTGAAAGCCTTGCTTTTATTCAAGATTGTTGACCAATTTGAGGCGGTAATTCATAAAAAAAAAATAACTATTAGATTATTATAAGAACATTATTTTTTAAAATTATTATGAGGATTATAAATATTTTAATTATTAAAAATGAAATAATTTTTTTTTTGTAAATTTTATTTGATTAAAAACTAATTTTTGTTTAATTGTGCTTTAATTCGCTCAAAATTCATTAACCTCAATCAAAAGTTTCTTTGGGAAACAATTAAGTCAATTAAGACAAACTCACATACACATCATATGCGTAAGCTTCAAACTCAAGATGTTTTGGTTGATAGCCAAAACTCTCAACCAACAAATTAATATAAACTGACCCATCGAGGTTTAGGGAGGTTGGTGGGCGAGCACAATTGGGTAAAGCAAGTGTGGGCCCGATGCCGATGGGTGGCATTGTTAGGTTCCACCGATGGATTAGTTATACTGCCAAACGCTCCATTCAAAGTGGCAGCAAGTAGATTATGGGTATCAATTTCGGGTAACGGGTCAGGTTCCGGTCTAACCCAAAATTGATTGGACACTATTTGGGTCAACCCAACCTGTTTTTGCAAACGGGTCGGTTTTCTGGACTCGAGCCCGACCCGCATCGGGTCCGGGTCAACCCGACAAGACCCGAATGACCCGGTGCCACAAAAAATTGCTAGTTTTCAGGTCCAAAATGGGTCAATCTCCGTTTTTCGAGTCAATCTTTGGTTGCCGGGTGAAAATGGGTTTTCAGGTCAAAAAAGGGTCAAAGGGTCAACCCGAACCCAATCCGATTTTTAAAATGGGTCGAATTGTAGAACCGGAACCGGACCCGTTTTGGGTTCAAGTTGACCCTAACCCGAAATTTTCAGTTAGAATTCGAATCGGGTTTCCGGGTCATATCAAATATTGACAACCCTAAGGTTGATACCCCGTTCCCCAAAAAAAAAAAATCAAGGTAAATTGCTTATCTCAATCAAAAGTCGCTACGAAGCTCATCTTAATCTTTTAATTGAAAGTTTTGCTTATCAATTAAGAGGTCTTAAATATGAGTCCTATGCATATTATTGATCTATGAGTTTGCCTTGGATGGCCTAAATGTCCCTTAAAAAAAAACCTGGGTTAGTTCAGTGGCACAGATATTATTGGGGCGGCGTTAGTAATGTTATTTGCATATTCTTCCTGAAACAATTTACATCAGAAGTATGAACAGGCCAATATCGCTAATCGAGAAGCGTGTGCCCAAAGAATTGATAGTGGAAGGCCATGACCCTATTTAGGTCAATTTTTACCTATATTTAATTATTTATAATAAAAAAAGGGTGTGAACTTAAATACGCTTCGAACAAGTCGACCTGTCATTTTCATTTTTCAAAGCACGTTTAGTTATAGTTACGCGGTTGCTTAGGAGAGCAAACATTCCTGTTGCGGGTCATTGTTGGAAGAATTTTTATTATGTCCAATGTCCTGACGTAGTCCTACATTCGGACTTCAGTAAAATGGTGTCATGTGCTCTTACTCTTTTACCGCGCGGCTCGAAGACCCAACCCGGACCGGACCCGGGATTGCTATGTATTGGCTGATCTGTGCAAACCGGGGTATTGCTAGGTATGCTCGATATTGTTCGGCAATAACGAGAAATACTGCTCTGTGAAGACCAATACCGAGCAATACCGAGCAAAACCGGGGTTTTGCTCGGTATTGCTCGGTATTGGTCTTCACAGAGCAATATTTCTCATTATTGTCAAACAATACGTAGCAATACATAGCAATACACGAATATAGCAATCCCCGGTTCCGGTCCGGGTCGAGTCGTCGGGCCGCGCGGTAAAGCGTAAGAGCACGTGGCGACATGTTATTGAGGTCCGAACGTAGAGCTACGTTAGGACACCGGACCTAGTAAAAATTCCAACTTCGCAAACAAACCCAACATAATCAGAAAAATAACACAAGGCATCAGCCAACACTGGCCCCGAACGAGGCAATAACCTTCATAATTTCATCTTAAATGAATTAATGGATTAGGGTATGCCTCAGTAACTAAGTAACAAGTAGAGAATAGATGGAGACATTTTTTTTTTAAATTTACCTTTTAGCTCAATGAACATTAACCTGGATCTATTTTTATTTATATAAAAAATAATAATCTTCATTAATTAGGGTTTAATTATACACTCATATTTTTCTGGATCAGATTAATCAAGTCATATATATTATGAGCTCGAATAGGTCCAATAGATTTCTATTTGATGAACATGCTTTCATTTGATGGAATCCATATATAACTCGTTAACTCTAAACTTGTTGTTGGCTATCTTAGCGTTTGTACACAAATAAACATATGAATCAAGTAATATACGATATGTAGACTGTCCTTCCCCTCAAAAT